CCCCAAAACCCCAAAACCCCAAAACCCCAAAACCCCTCTGAGGAAACTATTTATTGAGAAAATCTTTTTCTTAATTAAAATTAATAATATCAATCACAATGGAAAGTAGTCAATCCCTAACCCCTTTCACCTCGGATGCAGCCACTCTGCTGCCATCTGAGCCATCTCTGGATGATGCTGGTTCCCAAGAAGCTCTTGGTAAGTCTTTTAATTCTCATTGATAAGCGGCTTGCTATCTTTCTAAAACTCAAGCATAAGCTAATTTTCCTTAGACCTGATGCTACAAGCAAGAGAGAAATTTGCCGAAGGAATCGCCCTCTTCAGTGACGAAGACTGGGACCTCAAGAAGGTATTTGTAGTACACACTATATCTTTAGGACAAAGATAACGTTAAATTATGGACCAAGAAATCTGAAGAAGGAGGAGCCAATCTGTTCAGAAGAGAAGCCTCCCTCGATCAATCTGCCGAGGCTGTCAGTGCATGGCTTAGTGATCAGCAAAATCTTGTTGATAACAACGATAAATTGAAGTCTAGCGAGATCATTTGTGAACTAAATGAGCAAGCATTGTTGATTAGAAGAGAAATGAAGGGAAATATGATTGTTTCAAACAGAGATCTCGCACTCTTCTGGAATAAGGTTGACCTCACTGATGGATCTATTGCTCACGTGATGTTCTCCATAGAGCATGATTCTATTCCAAAGACTAAATGCGTCAGAGCAGAAGCCGATATTAATCTTCTCATTCTGCAACCTGTTTCGGATACAAGGTATTTTATCTCTTTCAAATTTTCCGGAATTTGTCACGTTATTCCAAAAATCTTAAATCCTTCAAACTCCTTTCCCAGCCAAAATTAGCTTTTAGCTAGATTTTGATTTGAGTAGGATAGTTCTCAGGTCACGTGACTTCTCTCAAATCTCAATTTCTCTTCAGTATCTTTGCAATGGTGACTGAATCTTATCCTTGATATAGCTGTGTCTTGCTCAACATCGGAAAGATGGATCCAAAAGGAAGCATCCCCACCTCTTTTGTCAATAAGATGGTGACAAAGCAGTATGATGATCTAGTGAAAATCAAGAAGTTAGTTGAAGCTTAAAAGCAGCTTTAATTCGATTTGTTATGTAATCAATATTTTGGAAATTTGTCACGTAATTTGACCATCTCAATTAGACAGAAGAGTTAAGGGGTTTTGGGGTTTTGGGGTTTTGGGGTTTTGGGGTTTTGGGGTTTTGGGG